GTAGGACACCAGAGCCCCCAGCAGCAGATGTGGTCCCTGACCCCCGACTCCCAGAACCAGGGGCTAAGAGAAACCTCTTTCTTTAGCCTTCTGCAGTGGAGTGGCTTCGTGTATCAAATAGGTATGACATCAGTTCATTGGGTTTTCCCAAGGAGATTCTTATGAATGATAGTTTGTGTGACTATTTTGGTGCCCCAGATAAGATTAGTTATGAGTAAATGTCTTGAGTGTGAATTTTCTGCTAATGCTTTCATATTTTGATGGAGAAATATTTTCTCTGTCTCAGCTCTTGTAAGCAAACTTCTTTGCTAGTAGCAGATTACACATGACTGCGGCTCAGCCTGCTGCTGTCCGTTCTCCCTGCCTGCAAGGTTCTTTCCCACTGAGATGTGTTCTACTTTCTCTCACTAAGTAACTTGTCTGCTATCTTTTTTTTTAAAAAAAAGAATACAAAATGGTAAAAAAAAAAAAAGAGCATTAGAAACAGTACAAAATTTCATGAAACAAAGTCATAGGAATTTGACAGTGGTTGTTGTAGAGCATAATGTCATCTTCAAATTAGTTGTTTAGTTTTACCAGATATAAACTTGTAAAATTGGTAAAAAATAAATAAATAGAAAAGTTATAAGAAATTATAAAAAGAAAAAAAATTAAGCATTAACTGCTCCTTTCAATAGACCAGCAGAAATCAGCAGTACAGTTGTCCAAGCGATCCTGCATATATGCATAAATACATCTTTTCTCTTCTTTCTTTTGTCTTTTTCCTCATCCCAGTTCCTTCCCTTTGAGCAGATTCTTTCCTTTCACAGCGTCAATTGTGCCGTGCAGATTTTATTTACTCTTTCCGGTTGAAACCTGCCCAGAACATGCCACCTCAGCACTTGTATGCGCATCTATTTGTGTTCTGCTTCCATATTTTTGTTTTAAATTTTTGCTTCTTGATTGCCCTTGTTTCTCATTTTGTATTTTGAGTCTGGTGAACTATGTTGAAATGTACTGTGTCCTTAAATTCTTTGCTCAGTCTATTCTAGGTCCAATGCCTAAAACAATTTCTTGTGTCGTTGGTCGGCTTTGAAAATACAAACTCTATTTTAATCTTAAACCACTAATCTTAGCACATTTGGGCCCATCAATACCTAACAATAGGAAGCTGTAGTTTTCATTTATAATCTGGTCATTTAGGAGAAATAATTCCAATGGAGCTGCACTTAAAACCTCAATGGAGGTTTTAAGTGCAGTTTGAAAGAAAAGTGAGATGTGAGTTCCACTTGGCAGGAAACCTAGAGAAGTGATCAGAAGTGATCTGTCGGGATGGATGAAGCAGTGACTATAGAGCGTATTTACTCTACATGAGAGATGAAGTGTTAGTTTGGCCACGTGAAGCTGATGTAAGTGATATAAGTAGTGTGTTTTTTTAAAATATTATTTCTTTAAATGGAGTTAACCTCATGTTTGGAAAGATATCCCCTTTGTTTTTCTGGGAATTATATAATGATTGGAAGACGGGCTCTCTTTTCCTTGTAAACAAACTTTTCTTCCCTACAAATAGAATTAATACTGTTGAATTTCTAAGGGCTGAGGATTTTCCATTTAAACCACAGTTTCCATAAACAACAATTACAAAATTTTAGCTTTTTCTTTTTTAATAAAAGTAACAATCTTTATATAAACCAATAAATCTTTACATAAACCAACCTGCCTAAAAGAGTACGCAAAGAGAACTATAATAATCTCCTAGCATCCCACTATAGGCATCCAGGTCAGCATTTTTATTTATATCCAAAAACCTGAGAAGTTTCTAGATGAAAGAGTTGGAAAGACTATGGATGCGATGGTACCTCAAAGAACCAGCTATGAAAGGAAATAAAATCAGGAGCTCTAAGCAATCTTGAACTGTGAAATAAGCAGTGCTCCAAATCCTTGCATAATTATGTGTTCTCAAAAAAAATGAGCATGGTATACAGATTGTTTTCTGTCTTGCTGTTTTTCTTTATGATTGGCATCACTTCTTTTGATTAGTCTTCTAAGCATCTCATATGCTTGAATTAAATATTTTGTCATTTGTTTCCTAATGTTTTAAACTAATCCCCTTGGTTGAGTGTTTAGATAGATTTATGTCTCAAAAATAGTACACTGAAGAAATAAAAATCTCTGTAGACACATCCACTTTCATAGTCATTATTTCCTTAGGATAACTTTCTAAAAATGATATTGTAGTGTGAAAGCATATGTATGCTTAAAATTCTTTGAAGCATAAAAGTCTACACCTCTATGATCTCAAGCACTATACATGAAAATATGTATTATCTACATATTTGCTCAGAACACAATAGATTTATACCTGTCAGTATTACAGGGTTGATGTCATTTTGTGCACACATATTCATACTTATATGTGTGTACATAAGTGTATGATTGTTTTGTATTAATTTTTACCATGATGGTTACAGAATATATTTTTTCTCATCAGTGTATTAACCTGTCATATCCAATGAGTCTGAAAACATGTTTCCAAGGTGTCTACTTCTAAGTGTCACTGTCTTTACTTCCCAGGTGCCTGCAGGAACATCACTCACAGCCAATGTCAGATGCTGCCCTACAACACCACAGTAGCATCTCTAATCTCATCCATTGAAAATATAGAAACGGAGAAGTTCCTCAAGTTCTTCACCTACCTTCACCGCCTCAGTTGCTATAAATATATCATGCTATTTGGCTGTAGTCTTGCCTTCCCTGAATGCATCATTGATGGCGATGACAGGTATTTGGAACAAAAATCATTCTGTGCTAGGAACCTATTTGGATTCTGGGGAAAAATGTCTACAAGGAGCATAATCAACATGCTACCACCTTTTGTTTTTTTGGGTATTGAATGATAAAAAGACTCATATCATTCATAACCTACTGTAACTCTTTAAAACTAGAAGTATTCAGAGAATATAGAATACTCATATGAATAAATTATTCAGTATATTAGGTTGATGGTCTCTGAATGATATTCAATGGCTGGTCCAATGGAAGTCTAGCAGAAGAGATACAACACTCAAAGGAGTAGTTGGAAGAGTTTACAGAAAAGACTATTTCTGAGGTGTAAGCAGGTAAAGAAAACAATTGATGGGAAGCAGCAGAGTCTTAGTATAAGGAGATGCAGTTTAACCATCCAAAGCTTGAAGGGCAAACTGGGCCAGCTACACTGGAGACTTGTAGGCATGGGTGAAGGGACTCTAGTGAGCCATGACCCATGGCCCTGAGCACAGCATACAGCCACTGGAGGGCAGAGAACAAAGTTTTGCTCTCATTTTTCTCCTGCCGTCCTGTCTGCCAGTGTATCCCACCAAGTGAAATCACTCACAACCAGAACATAAGAAAGTCTTACAATTTTTGTAAATTAAGAATTTCAGTGGCTCTAAACTCCTAAATCTTAACTATCTAAATCAGGTCTGAGTGAGATTCTGGATGGTTTTCCCCATCCAAAGCAGAAGGCAGTGCAGGCTGAGGAGGCTGAAGAGTAGGTGTGGAAGGACAAACAGATTATCCAACACAATATCCAATAGGATTAGAAGTAATGTTCCATAAGAATAAATAAATCAAAAGAATGTCATGGGATATTTGAACCACTATATATGTACATATATAATGCATATTCATTATTTTATTATAAGCACATATTAAATGTTTATTCCAATATAATGTCAATTATTTTCTGGACTAAAATGTTAGGCAATTTTCTGAGTAGTAATATTACAATGAATTTTTATTCTCATTTGCAAATAGGTTCCATATTATTTGAACTAATTTAATTAGTGTGTTAAATAGGCTGGGAATAAGGAAAAGGCATTTATTATTTCAGTAGCACAAAGACTGGGTTGTCATTGCTTCAAGGTAGAATAAGGCCATTGGCTCTGAATCTTAGAAGTGAATAAAGAACTATCAGCAAGCAGAGCATCTGGAGAAATGTGCCCAGTAAGAAATCCATTGCAGAGAATTCTTTCATGGTAGAGATAGAAGCCCACTTAGGTCTGGTTAGAAGTTCAACTACAGATGGTCCTAAAATTACCCTTTTAATGCAGTATAGCAGTTTCATTCGTTTGCTAAGGCAGCCATAACAAATGGCTGCAAGCTGGGTGTCTTATATAACAGGGATTGTTGTCTTATGGTGCTAGAAGCGGGAAGTTCAAAGCATGCCAGGCTTTGTGCTCTGCTAGAGCTCCTGGGAGAATTCGTGTTGCTTCTTGGCTGTCTTCTGGTGGTTTCAGTTCCTCAGTTTGTGGTGGCGTCATTTCAATGTCTGTCTCTTTATTCAGATGTTCTCCTATTTTTCTCCTCTTTGGTCTTTTGTAAGGATCATTGTCATTGGATTTAGGGCCTATGTAGACAACTCAGGAGCTTATCTGCATCTCAGAATCCTTAACTGCATGCATAAAACATACCTGCCCAATAAGGTCATATTTACAGGTTCCAGGGATTAGGAAGTAGACATATCCCATTGGGGGTGGCTACCTTGCAACACAGTACAGTGGTTACAGAACCACATGTCATGGTTTCCTCATCTGTACAATAGAAATACTAGTTATACTTTGCAAAATTAATGTAAGGATTGAATGACATAGAAGGCTTGAAACACTGTCTCTAAGAAGAAAGTAAACATCAACAAAGGTACAAAATGGTAAATATAAAAGGACAACAATATTAATAAAATAGCAAAAAGATTTTTTCATATTTATTAAGGTTGCAAAAAATGTTAACTGCTATGTGGATTAAAAGAAAATTATGTAGAGTACTAAAGGCTTCTGCCACTGGATTCTACTTCTATTTCTTTTTTTCTAAACAATTTTTCTTACTATGCTTTGTCTTGATTTCTCTGTAGACTCATGTGTGCACATGAATAGAACAATAAGAGAGTGCATTCAGTTTCCAGAAGTCTTTAAATTCATTTTGATTGTCGTCCTTATTATAATTCAATCTGTGCTTCATTATCAATTACAACTTTATAAAATTTAAGTTGCTTACAATTTTCAGAGCTCTTGTATGTAAATTTGTTTTTCTTTTGACTTGGTTTGGCCTGACAAATATGCTAAGAGGAGAGATTTTCTTTTTGTTTTATAATGAGCAATAATTCATGGTCAGTTTTCAAGTGTCCTTTAGGGACTTACCTATTTTATTATTAAATTTATTATTATATTCAGGTTTATAATTGTACATTCAGACATGTGCTTCCTGCTGACATTTGGTGTGTGCCTGGGACCTGAAACCTAATCTAGCAAGCAAAATAAATTCAGAAAAGAAAAATGTATTATAGAATGTACTTATGAGGTCTATATTACTTTGGATCATCTATTATACTAGTTAGTTCCTTCTACTATTCAACTAATGGAAAATCTCTTGTGTTTGCTTCTGGAGAAAATAATAACATTTAAAATGTAACTTTAAAAATATTATAGTGAGATGAACAAATAGTTTAGTTTTTAACCTGATGCCATTGAGACCTCAGATACCCATTAACTACCTCATATGTTTTAACAATGGACTATCTTGGTTTTTCCTTTGGACTGTGTTTCCTTCTAATAAATATGTATATCACATACTATAATTCTTAAATATGAAAACTTAATTGACAAACTATTTGGATAGTCCTAAAATATATAGGTTAGAAAGGAATTGCTTAAAAATGTCAGCAAGTAACTAGTAAGAAATTCATAATCGCTTTGTCAAAGACAAGAAGTGCGTGGGTATCTTTCCGATGCACTTAGTACACATGGTGCTCCTGTGCTTGGACTAGGAAATGGTACTGGAGCCACATGCTCTTGATATGAAGCTACTACTGTTCTCACATCGCTCAGATGATGGCCTCATGCTCAGATCAGAACTGAGAGCGTATTTGGTCTGAAAAGCCCAACTTTGACTTTGCTTCTCGAAGACACTTAGGAGACCCTACTGAGTTTTAATCATGCCAGTCTTACCTTTTGTATGCATGCAGTACTGGATTAGAATTAGGAACTTGAATGTTGACTAGGGACTTTTTTTTTACCTGAATAGTATTGATTTGCTGGGAGGTTCTTAGCAGAAATGCTTAGTATGTAGGATAGTGAAATAAAAATTTACTAGCTAGTCAGACGAGTAGAGATTAAAGATTGTATCTCAAACCTAAGAACTCTATAACCGTTTTCCATGGTTTATTTAATATCAATATGTTTGTGTTTGTGCTGGAGGTCAAACACGTTTCCTCAAATGAGCATCTTTAAAAACACTATATTTTTCCAAAATTGTTCATTATGTGTGTTCACTGGAGATTAAATAATTTAATCCAGCAATTTTAGAGAATACACTTGAAAGTTTAGAGGCAGATGGCATTACCCTTTTTGCTTATGTGTGTACTTTCTTAGTTTCAAATTCCACAATAGCAGAGAACTTACTATGTCCATTGTTGTATACCAAGAGTTCAATCATGCCCCAAAACATAATAGGTACATAACACACTTATGCAAATAAGTAATTAAACTTTTCAACAAGGGAGACCTTCTAAATGTTGGTCAATGAGAGTTCAAAATGTGCTGATGATAGTCATAATTTTTGTACATTTTATGTTTCTTAAAATTTGTACATAAGGCTGAGGAGATATCCCAGTGGTCTGCTTGGCCAGTACAAGGACCTGGGTTAAATCCTGGGTACTGCATGCTGTGCTGGCCTCTTGCAGAGCCAGCCACCAAAACAGGGTATCGTGGTGCATGCCTGTAATCCCAGCACTGGGGAGGCTGAGACAGGAGCATCACCATGAGTCTGAGCAGTGTAGTGAGACCCTGTACAAATAAATAAATAAATTAATTAAAAATTTGTGCATAAAGCAAACCTTATGTATGTATTAACATTGCAATTTTAATGTGACCTGGATGATATTCCTAGACATGATTTAGTTTCTTTCTAAAAGATCTTCAATTGGCAGAAGAACCAGTTAGGAGTAACTTGCATTTCTCCATCATTATTAAAATTCTGAATCCAATAGTTGAGAAAATGTTATATTATACCTAGGGATTGTCTTAGTGGCTTTGTGCTTTCATTTGAGTACTGGCCGATATCACTCGGTTAAAGAGTCAACTTTAGAGCTAAAAATCTTAGGTTTAGGTCTATATAAAGGCCAGAAAAAGTCATGATAACATACCTAGAGGATAATGACCATGTTGATGGTTGAGACTCTAGCCACATGACGAGTAGTTCATTGAAGTAAGTGCGAAGTCCTGAGAAGCACTATGGCTGTCATCAGATGTGCCTGAGCCAAGGCGTAGAAGAGGAACCACAATTTAATATACTCTACTGTAGATCAAAGAGAGAACTCCTGACTGACCATCAAAGAGCAGTACATTCCAATTTAACTGAAGAAAGAATTTTATGGATTAAAAAATTGTATAAACATAGAATTATTGTCTCAGGAAATGGCATTATTTGTGACTACTGAGGAAACTGAAGTGGAACAATAATACTTCAGTGGAGATGTTGGGTGGCGAGTCCAGCATATTAAGGTAGACTGGCTTCCTATTGGATTAAGGTTGGTAAGAAGCCCCCGGCACTGATGGCTAAGGAAGTCTAGGAATTCATGAAATAAGATGAATAAAATCTGAGCCACTTATATGTTGCTTTGGAAATAATAGTGAGGGAATCCACTTGGAGATTTTGTGAGGAGTCATTTTAATACCTGCCAGACTACATCCCATAACTTCTGTGCTTGCCCATCTGTCTGCAGAATCGATGAGCTGAGTTAATTGTGAG